AAGAAGTGTGGTTTGAATAGGTATGGCCCCCACGGACTCATGTTTGAATGCTTGGTCAGACATAGTGGCAATATTTGGAGGAAGTGTGTTACTGTGGCAGCGGGCTTTGAAGTCTCATATATGCTCAATACATGCCCAGTGGGAGAGACTCCTTCCGCTGCCTGCAGATCAAGATGCAGAACTCCTGGCTCCAGCACCATGTCTGCCTGCATACTGCCATGTCCCACCATAATGATAACGGACTAAACCTCTGAAACTCTAAGCCAGCCCATTAAATGTTTTCCTTTTTAATAGTTGCCATGGTCACGGTGTCTCTTCACAGCAACAGAACACTGACGAAGACATGAAGGAGCAATGAAATAATTTTATGGTTGGAGGTCACCACGACATGAGGAACTATATTAAAGGGTCACAGCATTATGAAAGTTGAAGACCACTGCTCTAATGTTTCATGTTTCCTTCTCCTCTGAACAGTAGTAAATGTCTCCCCAAGCCTGGTGCTCAAATCGAGCTTTGGGATAAGTGACTTTAACCAGTAGGGTCATGGAAAAATGTGACAGTAGAGTATGATTTTCATGTGGCTCACTACTACCTGTAACTCCAGCTCCAGGGGATCACTCTCTGTCTCTGTCTCTGTCTCTGTCTGTCTGTCTGTCTCTCTCTCTCTCTCTCTCACACACACACACACACTGTGGGGGGTTGTCTAACAAGGATAAAAACCTGTGGTTTCTAAGCATAAGATTCTTATATCACCAATCTCCATATTTAAGCAAAGAATCACATAATATTCCAAATCATTACATTGCAATTTTCTTATACTTCATTTTAAAAGGCATCGCTTCCTTCTTGCCTCTCAGATCACTAAGTGGTAAAATGCAAGAGTTACCTGAAGTAAACAATGTAGGCGTTAATGGATTACGACTTAAAGTGTCTTTATTAAATTTTACCTGTCTCTCCTGAATTTGAATCAATGTAGTGTTTGGAGGTTGCATCGTCCTTGCCAAAACAAAATGGATGAAAGTCGCCTTGTTCTTCACAGATTTCAGGTAAGGCAACAGAGTGTAGCTCAGTTGCAAAAAGACAAAGGTCAGCAAGTGACGGAGAGCTATTCTGTTCCACTACTCCTGGGTGTGCATGGTTTTCACCCAGCTCAGGACCGAATAACCTCCAGACAGAGGTAAGGTGAATGCTCACAGGCAGGTGTGCCTGACATCAGATGAAAGAACCCAGAGGCTGGTACTGGCTGATGAAGAGACTTCCTGACATTCCTGAGACAGGGGCAGGTTAGTTTCCATTTCATCTAGAGACTCACCTATTTTACTGTTGTTCATAAAGAAGTCCTCAGTAAGAGCTCTTATTGAATGTAATTAAAAAAGAGCACCCTGAACAAGCAGACAAAAACATTTTATGAACATATATTAAGAATTAGAAATTCAACGCTGCACCCAAGGTCTCCATGTAGGGTATGTCTACATGTAGGGGTGCTGAGACATCTTCTAAGGGACTCCACGGAAGGGTAATCTTAAAGGAATTTTACTCCACATTCTCAACGTAAAACACACGCACATGCAAAATCCAGTGCATCCTGTCTACAAAATCAAGGCACACCACTCACTTCGGCTCACTCCAGGAGTGCAGGCCTGAGGCATTAACACTCCTGCACAAAGATGGGGAACTCAGCGGTTTCGCAGACATCTGCCCCAGTGGCTCAGTGGCTAAGAGACTTGCTCTGCAAGCATGAAGATCTGAGTTCAAATCTCCAGCGCCACAGAAAAAGATGGGCGTGGCCGCATGTTCCTGTGAGATGTCCTGCCATGGTCTCTGCATGCATACCCACAAATTCACATGTGCGTGCTCTTTCTCTCTCTCTCCCCTCTCTCTCCCCTTCCCTCTCTCCCTTCATTTAGTAAGAGGAATTAGTAACAGGGATATTTGGGGATCTGTCAGGATGTTTAAAATGTGGATATCTAGAAAAATAGAGCGAAAATAATGATTTTAATTAACAAGTTGATCTCTTTCATCCCTCAGACCCCTACTCAGAAACACACCTTCGTTTTTTGTTTGCTTGCTGCTTTAAATGGGGTCTTGCTCTGTAGCTCTGGCTGGCCTGATACTTATTACAGCACACACGGAACTCAAGCTCATGGCAATACCTGCCTGCCTTAGCCTCCCCAGGGCTAAGATTGCAGGCATGTGCCACCACCCCAGTTATTAAGTGCATCAGGTGTTGTCACGTGACGGCTGTCGTTTCCCCTCTCCTTTTCTTATTGAGACAGGGTCTCCTAGTGACCTTAAAAATATATACTAGAATGGCCGGCTGGCCAGAGCCCAGGAATCGTCCTCGTCCACACCCCCAGTGCTGAGGTTACAAGAGTGTCCAGCTTCTCTTCCTGGGGACTGTACTCAGGTCCTCCTTGGCCCTTCACCCTCTGAGCCGTCTTCCCAGCCTCCAAAAGACGTCCTTCATTTTCTGAAAAAAATGTATTTGCTTATTACGTGTGTCAGGGGGCTGTCAGTGTGCCGCAGCACTCATGTGGAAGACAGCTCTTTCCACCCGGTGGCCGGGGAACCAAACTCAGGCCTGGCAACGGACACTTTTATGCATCATTCCTGGTGAAGCTCCACCAGCTGGGCTGCAAACACCTAGAAGAGATACTGAATGCTATAGTGTGTTTTACCTGAGTAAAACTGTCAACTGTTTAGAAACCAACCAGAGCGGTGAGCTGGTTCAGCAGGCAAAGGCACTGGCTACCAAGCCTGATGACCCGAGTTTGGTCGCCGGGTCCCATATGGTGCAGGGAGAGAACTGGTTCCCTCAAACTGTCCTCAGACTGCCACACTTCATGCAACCCCCCCCCCAACATGAATAAAATTTAACAGTAATAAAAGCATTGAGGACAATGTCCAGCACAATTAAGGGTACAATTAATGTCAGGTTTTTAAATAACAAAAAAACCTCATTCTTAATGGTTCCACCCCCACATGTATTTGGGCAGCACAAATTGGACCTGGTAGTTATTAAAAAAAAAAAAAAAAAAAAAAAAAAAAGTAAGAGACAGGAATTGGGAGGGGCTGAGGCAGTCGGGATGGGTTCAAGAGTTAGAAGTTTCCAGGTGAATATGATAAAAATACATTGTGTATATGTATGAAATCCTCAAAGAATTAAAAAAATCATAGAAAAACTTATTCTTAGGACAATAAATAAAATAGTAACTTTGAGCCATCAAAATTATATTCTGGTAGTTTATTATTTTTATTGTAGCATGGAATATTTTTATAGACTATCAAAATTTTATGAACTGAATAAAACCTATACACAAAATGTTTCTGAATCATACTGTAAAATATTTACCCCCACAACAAATAACAGTTTACTTAAACCTTGTAAAATTATTACTACCATCTCCTAGCAGAAGACAAATTAGACGCCAGCTGCCAGATCAGTTTGTTTTCAGCAACATACAGCACCTGATGTAATAGTAAAACTGTTTGCATTTACTTCCCAATTCTACCGAACATCTCAGTTCAAAGCATGTACTTTTACTGAAAGAAAACATCTCACCTTGTACCTATCTAACTTGCTTACTAAATGGCAATTTCATATAAAGCATTGACTTGTTACAACTTAAGAGAAACAAAACATTGAATCTTGTCTGGTAAATCTACCAGAGTTCAAATCCTCACTGCTTTGTATAACTTTTTAAAAAAAAGATTTATTTTACATGTTCTGTCTGAATGTATATATGTGTCCATGTGTGCCTAGTGCCTAGGAGGTCAGAACAGCACACTGGGTCCCCCTGGAATTGGAGTTATGGATAGTTGTGAACCACCATGTGAGTTCTGAGGCTCAAAACGAGGTCCTCTGCTAAAGCAGCAAGTGCTCTTAACCACCAAGCCTCTCTCCAGCTCCTTTGTCCAACCTTTTCATCACAGTCTATATTGGTTCTTGACGGTTTTCATGTCTTCAGAATTCATCAGCACATTTTATTCACAAGTCACTCTTTCTGCCAAAATTAGTCCCATTTGGTTGACTTACTATATAAAGTCAGGAGTATATACTATAATAAAAATAATCCAAAGCACTAATTGTATAAAAATAATATATATATATATATATATATATATATATATATATGAACAAAAGGTGTTTTGAAACTAACAGTTGGACTATCCTAATTCTTATTTCACTGGATTAGGCAGTTTCCCTAAGGATCAGCAAGTCCAACTAATATGCACATATGTCTTAGTAAGACTCTTTGGCCTTCCATTCCCAAACCTGAGAATATATAATTCTGAGTAACAAACACTTCTAACAGTCTATAACCTACAACTACTTGTTTTCCACAAGAATAAAAGACCAAGAAGCGAGTCATAATTAAATGATTACTTTTTAAAACTCAGTTTTGAAAACAGATCACAACGTAATCCTTGGCATGGGATTTAAGAAATTGAAAACAACTGTCCTGAAAGTTATTCCCATTCCTCCTCCTCTTCATGTAGGGGCTGTAGTCACACTTATATGGATACAAGTTTTAAAAATTAGACATAGAATACTAGGCGCTCTTTCATGAACGTAGCTCTACCGTGGGATGCTTGACTAGTGTCATGCATGAGACCCTGGGTCCAATGCCCTGAACACCCCTGCCCCCTAAAGGAGTACTCCCCAGTTTTCATTTCTTTAATATCAACTATTTAAATCACGAGATCTACTGGTCCACTGGGAACGGCTCCTGCTCTCCAGCCCAGCCACCGTTCTCAAACACCGTAGTGAAAGCATTAGGCGAGTGACTGCCGCCTCGGGGACTTCCTAAGTGGAGGGAATGGCCAGCTTTTATGTTTCACTGCTTTTACCACAATGTGAAACAATTTTCCTTCATTTGCACTAATACAATCTTACATTTTCATCAAACTTTTAGGTCCAACATGGGCATTTTTAGTGGTTTTACTATATTAGAAAATCTTGATGGGGCCGTTGAAATAACTATGTAATTTAAGAAAGAAAAAGACATACTTTAAAAGTTTTTATTCATTTTCCAGGTTGTTTTTTATAAATTGTGTGTATCCCTGTGCATGTGAATACAGTTGCCATGAAGGCCTGAAGAGGGCGTCAGATTCCTTAGAGCTGGAGTTACAGGCAGCTATGGGTCACTCATCATGGTTGTTGGTATTGAACTCTTTACCACTGGGCTATTTCACCAGCCCCTCCCTATGCATTTTCTATATGGATAGAATTAATTTCTATAGCATTTAGAGTCCATCAGCATAAAGAATGATGCCTATTGTAACATGTGAATATTTATGCTAAGGTGAATATCCTATCTACTGACAACATTAAACCTGGGAAATTTAATGTGCTTTATTGTGCAATGGAGCCAAGGTGTGGCAGCTCACACCTTTAATCCCCATCTCAAGAGACTGAGGCAGGTGGGTCTCCGGAGAGTTCACGGCCAATCTAATCCACACAGCAAGTTCCAGGCCAGCCTGGGCTGCATCATGAGACCCTGCCTCAAAAACCAAACAAAAACCAAGTGCAATGGAATAGTTTCTTTTAAAAAACTTTTTAAAAAAGTATTCATGAAAACCAAACAAGTTGAAGAATTATTGTTCTAAAACAGAAGGGAAGCAATGAATGACCTTTTCAAGGTCAAAGATACTCGGAGAGGGTTTAAAATCAGCAATACAGAGACAGAATAGGAATGAATTTATTATCTGTTTGCTTTTTCTGGCACCTAGAGGGAAAGACGAGTATTGATAGGGATTAAATATTTCTGACTCAGATTCAGGGTTCACAGGAACACAAAAATGGAAAGCTCTGGTGGTGACTCTCTATCCAGGCAGCTACTCTTTCTTCAGAGTAGTCTGGATTTAAGTCATTCACCTTCTCCAGTTCAGGAAGAGGTACAGACATTAAGGAATATATTTCACCATGCCTATTTTCAATTATACATTGTATGTTAGAGTCTGAGGACACAATATGTAAGAACCTATGAAGATGAAATAGTGAATATGAACCTCCGCGGCATCAATCAAGGGCCCAGTGGGCACAGAAAACACATCAGAAGACATCATCAAAGTTAGAGTAGGCTGGGATCAAAGATGGTTCTTAAGAATCATAAGCAAGAGCCCAAGCTTGATGGCCTACTTTCTGGAGACAAAAGGAGTGTCACGTGACACACGTAAGGCAGGGATGGTGACTGGCTTGGGGCAGATGGCCACCATCAAAACTGGAGAATGTAAGGAACTCAGACTGGAGAGTCTAAATGCTGGGAGACTTGACTTTAATGAGAAAAACAGGCTTCTGTGATACAAGTACAAAGCATGGTTTTAGAAAGATTTTTGCGGGAACAGAGAGGAACAGACAGTGTCTCCTGGTTAAGCCTCAGCTTGACACAGCCCAGTTACCTGAATCAGTCAGGCCTGTGGGCCTATCTGAGGCTTTTCCTTGATTGGTAATTAATAGAGGAGGGCATAGCCACTGTGAGTGCTGCTGCTACCTGAGGCATTTCCTTGATTGGTAACTGACAGGAAGTGTGGGCGGTGCTACCACTATGAGGCTTTCCTCACACTTCCTGCACCTGCTTGAGCTCCTGCCCTGACTTCTCACTTGTTGGGTAAAATAAGTCCTCCACCCTCAAACTGATTTTGGCCATACTATTTATCACAGCAACAGAGAAAGAAGTTAAACTAGAACACAGCACTATGTTTTGAATGCATAGCCTAAAGTCTTAGAAACCCCTCAAATTCCTATGTTGATGGTATTGAGAGGTAGAGCTTTTGAGAGATAGCTTTATGGGCACAGTGATCAAAGCTGGTGTACTCTTACATTTTCTTCCCACCATTCTCTCTACATCATGCTGACACGGCAAGAAGGTCCTTACCAAAAGTACCACCTAGGCATTGACCATCCCAACCTCCAAAACAGCAAGAAAGCAACTTGTTCTTTATAAAGACCCAGTATAGCCAAAAGGTTTCTCCAGTACTGCCTGGCTGCACAGTCCCTCAGCCGCTTATAAAATACTCATTCAGAGGCTCAATATTAATTACTAATTGCATGGCCTATGGCAGGTTTCTTGCTAGCTAGCTCTTATAACTTAAATTAACTCATTTCTATTAATCTATGTTTTGCCACGTGTTCCATGGCTTACCAGTCTGCTGGCATGCTGTTCCTTGGGTGGCAGGCTGGTGTCTCCTCCTCTCTGCCTTTCTGCCTGGATTTCCCACCTGCCTCTAAGCTGTCTTGCCATAGGCCAATGTAGCTTTATTTATCAACCAGTCAGAGCCACACATATTCACAGCATACAGAAAGATATCCCACAGCAGCCCAGTGTGTGGTATTGAGTGTCAAGATCACAAAAATGGACGAAGATAGTGAGACAATGGTCAGTTAAATTTATCAATGGTTGAGGATGTGATAGGTCAAGGATGTGAAGCAGAGCAGGGGAGAAAGGACCAAGAGTCCTGAGCGTTTCAGGACTAAGTGGTTCCAATGGCAAAGAGAAGTCAATAAAGAAAATAAACTCAAGGAGTAGCGAGGCAGCAAGCAACAGCAGCCCTCTGCTATGGAGGGAAAAGTCACATAGCAAGCTTAGCAGTTATTTTGTCCTCTTGATCAAACTGGAAAGGACTTGTGTCTAAAATTGTCATCGATCATATTACATGAATCCAGAATGGTCAGTATTCACTCAACAAAAACCAAAGCAAACCCCAAATTGACAGACCTCGAGAACACTCCCTAGGAGGTGTGAAATTGGACTGTATGTAAGTCTCAGAACTCCCATTCTTTTACCCAGGCCTTGACACACAATCCACAGAAATGACTTGGTTCTCTGAATCCAAAGGCTCTTCAACTACGGCTTCAATGAACCAGACTGAAAAAAGAAAAGGTTTAAAAAGAAATACATCCAGGCTGGAGACATGGGTCAGCAGTTAAGGACACTTCCTTTTTTTTTTTTTTTTTTTTTTTTTTTTTGGTTTTTTGAGACTGGACTGTAACATCTGCTCTAGGACTGCTGTGGGATGTCTTTCTGTATGCTGTGAATATATGTTGCTCCCATTGGTTAACAAAGAAAGCTGCACTGGCCTATGGCAGGGTAGAATGGAGCCAGGTAGGAAATCCAAGAGGGATAGAGAGAGAAGAAAGGTGGGGTCAGAGGAGACACCAGCCTGTTGTCCAAGGAGCAACAAGATGTCCTCAGACCAGTAACATCATGGCCACATGGCAACATATAGATTAATAAAAATGGGTTAATTTAAGATGAAAGAGCTAGCTAGCAAGAAGCCTGAGCCATAGGCCACACAGTGTGTAATTAATATAAGCCTCTGTGTGTTTGCTTGGGACCGAGCAGCTGTGGGACCGGGCTGCTGCAGACCAGGTGGAACATGGGAAAACTTCTGATTACATAGGACTCTCATACTATCAGTTTTTCATCTACTGAGGGAGCTTAATAAGGCTTTTAATCAGGAAGAGATCAACAAACGTCTATAGAGGACTAAGCAGCTCACTGGCCAGGTTTCTGGTGAATACTCATCTGAGCTGCTGAGGTACAAAAACATAGAATGCAGGCAAATAATTGGGATTGGGAGCTACTCACAAAGCTTTATTTACACTACCAAAATTTTATTTCCCATGCTACCGGTCACCCTTCATCACAGGCATGGTAGCACTTACCTGTAATTCCAGCACTGAAGAATTTGAAGCCAGTCTAGACAACTCAGAGACACCTGTCAAAAGCAAATGCCCATACACACAAGTGCTCTTTTGATTCTGATCTGCCACTTGGCCATCAGATCCGGCCCGTGGTTACAGTTTACTGATCCCTTGCTCTAGAGTGAGCTGGATGTTGTCTGGAATGCAGGTCAGCACTAAGGACAAGAAGACGCTGACTGGGACCACTGGTATCAACACTGGAATCAGCTCTGCATGAAAGCATCTCAACACGCATGGCTGGGAAAAAAACGAGTCCATAGGCCTTCACCACGGAACTAGCCTTCTCCACAGCAGCAACTCCCAAAGTCTGCCCTTCAAACGGCACACCCTTCACAAAAGACACAGCCAGTTTGCTTCTGAGGTGGTGACCCTCTGGTGCTGCTTCTTCAGACCACTCATGATCCCTCCTTCTCTAGAAATCTTACTATCCACCTTTCCTTCCCTCCAAATTAATATTTTGTAAGGTAACATTCAGGAAGATGGACTAATGATATTTCACCTTAGTGACAGTATCTTTCTTTACTAACATGTTAGCAACTCCCAAGGTCTTTTAAGCTAACCCAGTTGAAGAACTATTGCTATAGCAGGACAAGCAAGTCTCTAAAGGAAAAGAACAAAAGAGGAAAGAAAAAAGAAATCTGAAAGGCATTTCTTTTAGGCAGGAGATGGCTCCAAGGCTGAGTGATTACTGCTCTTGCAGAAGTGTGGATTCAGGTTCCCAGCACCTACATTAGGTGACTCCCAACCACCTCTAACTCCAGTTCCAAGGCGGCATCTGACATCCTCGGGCCTCCACAGGAATCTATGGGCACATGGTGCACCTAAACTTACCCAGGCACATGCACACACAAAAACAAATGTTTAAAAAGAAAAAAAATACTTCTTCATTCTTTTGTTTGATCCAGTCAAAGGAGGGAAAAGTGGAGAGAAAGAAAATAAATATTTTCAGAGTCCATGTCAGTATTTAATACAAACATGAGACAAAAATCTGACAAAATATAGCTGAGTATATATACCAGTTGGTGTGGATTTGGAAATAACACAGGCAAACAACATCCCAATGTGTCCAAGCAAGGAAAAGGAAAGCAAGTAAATTACGTGGCTACTGATGACGAAGGAGAGCGCAAAGGCTGTAAGTAACTATTAATAACTATTACTATCCGTGTAACACGTTCTAGCAGTAACAACAGTCAAACAGTACAAATATCTTTACACACAACGGCAGTCATTCCTCAACGTTTTCCTCCCAAGAATGGCCTGATTCTATACCTTCGAGACACACCATCACTGCAGAAGCCAAATCAAATCAGAGGAGGTTGGCAAAGACTCAAAACCTGAGTAAAGACGGCAACACTTAGCAGAGCCAAAGGAATTTAAAAACTTGTATTGTCGGAATTCTTAACAACAACAACAAAGTAAAAGGTTAAGTACTTGATTACTTGTCAGGAAGAAATTTAAACAGGCTGATTTAAAAAACAAAAATTAAAAAACCCAGGAAGGTATTAGTATTTCCTGCCATTCTCCAATTTTCCAATTGTAGTTTCAGCTATTTGGGAGCAACTATGCAATCAGGTGACAAGCAATTCTTTTTCTAGGGCATGGGCCTGCTTATGTCAACATGGCTTATGTGGGAAAATCACCTGAAGGAAGAGTAAGCAAGCGGGCCTCCTGGTACCTGTCACAATGATGTGCTATTTTCCATTCTTCTCCTTCAAGACAGAAGCTTACTGGCTCAAGAAACCCACAAGTCTGTGGAGGGAATTCTCATGCTACCAAGCACATCTACTGCCCTTTCTCTTATGCAGTTAAAAAACATGATGAAATAAATCTATTGATTGTATTAACCACAGAAATAATGTGGCCTCACAGTTACTATTAAGGGTTAAAAACAAACAAAAAGCAATGTCAGTGAAATTGGTTCATGAAAAACTTGAGAGGGGTTTAATTCTAAAAGTTCACTTTCAGCCTCTAGATAGAATTTTACATTATCTCCAAAGCACATTTTGATTTTAGAAATAGGAATTATTTTCCAGTATATACTGGTCTCTCACTAAGACAAGCCAGGTACTTTTACTAACTATGGCACAGAACATTTAACCCCAAGTACTGAACACAAATGTCAATGCTCATCATGAGCTGTAAGTCAATCTCAAAGTGGGGCAAATACACATTCACAATGGAGAGAGAAGCTAATGTACAAATCTCTAAACATTCCCATTGATTTGTATCTTATAAGCTCTTAAAATTTCACTTCTATTTTTTACTGACACTTTTTGGAGTCGGGTTCACGTATGTGATCCAGGGTGGCCTCAGATTCATCTCTGTCTTAACTTCTGAGCATTGGAATTACATGTGCATGCCACCAGGCTGGTTCTTCTAATTTTTCATTAGTCAATAACTAGGACTTTTTTTTTTTTTTTTTCGAGACAGGGTTTCTCTGTGTAGCTTTGCGCCTTTCCTGGAACTCACTCTGTAGCCCAGGCTGGCCTTGAACTCACAGAGATCTGCCTGCCTCTGCCTCCCGAGTGCTGGGATTAAAGGCGTGCGCCACCACTGCCTGACATAATAACTAGATTTTTAACTAGACCCTGTAATCTATGACAAGGTTTCCAGTTATGAGATGAAACTGGCAGATGTGCCCCAGTACTTTATTACATTTTGCTTACTTGTTTAGGAAGTACATGTGTGTATATGTGTGGGCTCAGTTCTAACAGTGGGCAAGTAGAGGGTCAGAGGACATCCTTGAATTGATTCTCAGTCCACCGTGTGGCTCCTAGGATCAAACTCAGGTAGTTAAGCTTAGTGGGAGACACCTTTGGAAGCAATTACCTGTCCTGAATACATGCAATGTTCCAGAAAGAACTACCTAAATTTGCTGCCCAGCAAGCACTAAGCTGAGGGGACCTGATGTGTAACGCACAGGACAAGTGCTGTCGCCCCCATCACCTCAGACCTCGTTTGTTTCCAGCTGGTGCTGGCTGAGCAACCTCTTGGTGTGCTATGTGGTAAGGCCTACTGTGGTTGTGTGTGCACCAACTTGTATACTTTTGTTCTTGTCATTCACCCTAAACAGTACAACTATCTTCATAGTTTAATAAGTATGCTATCTAGAGATCGTTAAAATATACAGGAGAACATGTGTAGCTTATATACAAACATTATGCTACTGGAGGTACAGAACGTGAACATCTGTAGAATCTGGTACCCACATGGCATTCCTAGAAGAAATCCCTCAATGATACTGAGAAGAGGACTGCAGATGAACTTCACCTACAAACTTCAAAAATGAAAAGGACTATGATGTACGTAAAACCCAATGGGAACATAAACACTACTTTTCAATCCTTTCCACACTTCCCAAAACATATTTAATAGTGTTAATGTAGAAATTCATTTCAAATTTCAACATTAGGAAGACACGACATTCAAGGAGTGAACCAATAAAACCTGGCATTTTAAAACCAAAGGAACACATTTTGGACACCTTATATTATAAAGTTCAGTTCTAAGCAGGAATGGTTACTGTGTGACAAACACTGCTCCTATCAAAAGTGCTGGTGACAGAGAAGCCAGTGTGTCCTCCCACACAATGTTTGCATACACACCCATCTATCTGTAATTGTAGTACAGTTTCAAATGTTTAATGTGCATGAAGGTTGCACTAGAGCTGATGCATTCCTCGGCTACCTCTTCATTTGTAGAAACAGATCCAGGCAAACGCGCAGCTACTTTCTGCTGTGCGGCATCTGTGGAGCTGGAGCGCCCTCTACTGGTAAGGAAGAGGACACACTCATCAACTGTCCTCCGTGCATCTTTTCATTGATTCGAAGTTCACATCCATCCTGAAGCATCCGAACTGCTATTCTAGCAATATTCTTAGAGTCATCAAGACCACTGTGAGGCCGCCCATCATAATCCATTCCTAATTTTTCCAGCATTATTGTCAGTTTGGTTTGGCTTCTAGGAACCTGGAAAATAAACAGCGTAGTAAGTACTTTAGGCTCTCAGAATAGTTAAATTAAAAAATAAGAAACAAAACAGTCAGCACCCTATTTTACTTTTCCCGGAGAAAAGCAGTCTCCCTAAGGCACAAGACAAGAACTTCAAGATGGCAATTATGAATATGCTCAAGGACCTTAACAAGGATAGGAATAAATGCCTAAATGAAGAACAGGAAAACACAAACAGTTGAATGAAATAATAAAAACTCAAGACATGAAAATAGACTCTAATGGAGAAATAGAATCATTGAAGCCCAACTGTCGGGTGTGGTGGAATATGCCTTTAATCCCAGCACTGTGGAGGCAGTGAGTGAGTTCAAGGCCAGCCTGGACTACATAATAAGTTCCTGGGCAGCCAGAGCTACAGTATTAAGATTATGATTCTAAAAGACCAAAAGAAAAAAAAAACAAAAAATAAAATTTGATGCAGTATGTCAAAATAAAAAACTCAAGAGAAAAACTGAGGTGGAAGAGAGAATTTCAGGTCATAAAGACAGTGTGAAAGAAAAGATTAATCAAAAGAAAATTAAAAGATAAATCTTTAAAACAAACAAACAAACAGGCACAAAATACCAAAAACCAAACACACACACACACACACACACACACACACACACACACACACACACACACACACACACGAGGAAAAAAAAAAACCAGGCACAAAACATCTAGGAAATCTGGGATGCGAGACTATGAAAAGACCAAACCTACAAATATTGACACAAAGGAAGAAGAAACCTAGGTCAAAGGTCTAGAAAATATTTTAACAAAATCATAAAAGAAAAATCCCCAAATCTAAAGAAAGGGATTCCCATCAAGGTTCAAGGGACATACAGAACACCAAATGCACAGGCTCAGAAAAGAAACTCCCTATGGCACTTTAATAACAAAGAAAGGCTGTTAGTCACATATAGAGGCGGCCACTAGAATAACCCCTGACTTCTCAATGGAGTACAAGCATGGAAAGACTATAGGCACCAGCAGACCACCACACCCAGCTCAACCATCAATCATAATCGCAGAAGAAAGAAAAACATTTCGTGGACACCAGTATATAGGTGTGGGCCTGTGTGTCCTTGTGCTAAAGCTGGATATTCAACGTCCAGTCGTAACTTTGTGGTACTGACCAGTGGGAACAAATTAAAAACGGTGATGTTGAGGTGTGCCCACACTGTGAAACAGGGAGGCAAGCTGAGACTGAATCAACTCTCAATGGTCTGGGCGGAAGACAAGTTAAGACTGCTGGATCCTCTTACATGGTGTCAGCAAGAACAAAGGCATCACTCAGGGAAGAGGAATATTCTCTCTCCTTCTCCACCTCGCTCAGCCACCATCAGAGAAGCCTCTTATTACAGAAGATGGGAATTAACAGACCCACAACTGGACATGCGCAGAGTGAGACCTGGAACACTCAGTCTTAAGTGGAATGTCTCCATCAAAGTCCGCCCCTCATGGCTCAGGGAGGTATGTGGAAGAAGTGAAGGAGACAGAGGGGAAGGAGGAGTCCAAGGAAACAGTGCTGCCCAGACAACAGGACTGATGCACATATGAACTCAGAGGCTGAGGCAGCATGTACAGGGCTTGTAAAGGTTCAAGCGAGATGGGGTCCCAGTGCTGAGGATGAAGTGGACACAGGTTCCCACTTCTGACCAAAACTACCTGTAACTGATACCCGCTGGCAACAGAAAAATTAAGTTTTCTCCAACGAAGTCTCACTGAGTATGGTATTTTTGTACTTTCTGTCTCATTTGGGGGCATTTTTTGGTCTTATTGGTCGTTTGCTCATATGCTTTGGTTTCCATTTTTGTGAGTTTGTGAATTTGTGGGTATTTTAGAGAGAGAAAGGGCATGACGTTAGGTGGGTGGGGAGGATCTGGGAGCAGCTGATGGAGGGGAAAATTGTGATCAGAATATATTTATGAAAATTGTTTTCAACTAAAAATGTAAATTCTAATAAAGATGATAGAATAGCATTCAACTTTCTACAGAGATGGAGGTGCTACTTCAAAAACTAGTCATGGTTTTATACTTAGCTTTATATACCTGGGTATATGTGATGTTTAAACATGGGGAAATTCTCTCAACTGAGAACCAAGCGAGACTCAGCATGTTACAGGCAGTGCTTAAATAAGGAAGCACTGTCTCGACTATACCGATTTATATGATCTTATAGTACATGAAACTGACTAACTGTCCAGAAGAAATAAAAAGAGAGCATAGCAGTCAGGAGAGCTATTCCATCCTTTACTTCAAAAACAGCTTTGAATGAAGACAGGGCCCATAAAAGATACATTTTTATAATTTTATAAATACTAAGTAAACAGTTGAGCCTGGTATACTATGCAAGAGAAGAAACTGGAAGTTTTCCCTCGAATCTTATATAAAATTGTGCCTGAGGCTGTATTTTTTTTTAGCCTACTTTTAGAAATATTAAATCCTATTTTAGTTTAAGCCAGTTGATTAACCGATTTATAATGTCTACCTTGTAAGTTTTTAAATCTACGAAGAGAGAACAAAGAGATTAATAAATTTTAATTTCTGACACTCGAGAAAAGCTGGGTTAAAAGTAATGGGGGGGGGGCACTCAAACTGTTGCACAGTATCTTATACCACTGACCTCACTGTGAAACTTTCAGGTCTACTTGGAGGAGGCAGACAAAACAAGATGGAGAATCAATATTTGGTATGCAGCCCAGGCTGGCCCGGAACTCTTGCCTCAGGCTCCAAAAGAATTGGAACTGGGCATGTGCTACCACGCTCAGCTTATTAGATCCTGTTTAAAATAAAGGATCTCTTTACTCCTCACACGGGTGCTACCAATTACAAAGGAAGGAAAACCATACACAAAAGATCAGGCAAATAAATAGACCAAATTCTACGCTCAAGAACACTAGGAATTTACTGCTTTATATATATGCAACTTTATAATTATATTGATGTATCTACCTTACAGTGAACCACTGATATTTTTATATAAGCCTAAAAATTATCTTTATAATTAGCCTTTAAAAAAATTGTCTTATTGTGTGTGTGTGTGTATGTGCATGTGGTGTGCTCATGTGCACACAAGTGTTTATGTGTGCAGGTGCCCACAGAGGCCAGAAGAGGGCGATGATGCTCTGGAACTGGAGTTACAGGCAGTTCAAAGTCAAGTAATGAGGGGTCTGGGAACCAAACCCAGGTCCTCAGCAAGAGCATTAAGTGCTCTTAACTGCTGAGTCATCTCTCCAGCCCAAGATTTTATTAAAATGCCTTAACACAACAGGCAGAAGACAGTTATGTCTGCAACTATAGCAGGATACAACCAGTAAAGGTCATACTACTAAAAAAAAGCACCAGGAGTGGCAGCCTACACCTTTAATCCCAGCACTGGGGAGGCAGAGGCAGGTGGGTCTCTATGATAAGTTTGAAGCCAGCCTGGTCTATTTAGCTAGTTCTAGGCTATCCAAGGCTACAGTAAGTTCTTGTCTCAAAAAAGAAAACCAAACCAAAACACAAAACAAAAAAGATTTTAAAAGGTAAAGTATCTGCTAATGGAAGGGGACAGGGAGAAAGGAAAATGACAGGTTAAACACCTGGAGAGGCTGAAGAGACCCCTGGGGGGGGGGGGGGGAACTGGCTGCCCTTCCAGAGGACGCTGGGTGAAGTCCAGCACCTGTAACATCAGTTCCAGATCAGAGATCTGATGCCTTCTGGCCTCTGCAGGCACCAAACACATGCATGCAGGCAAAACACCCACACACAAAAAAAATGAGATGACATAAATTTAAGAAACAATCTACTGAGACATATTAACTTTATAGTGACTTGGGCTCAATACACAAAATATATAATAAAACACAATGATGCTTATGGCAAATAGATTACAAGAGGAACTGTGGCCCCACACCTTAGGTGTAGTAATGGCATCATGACTATTCTGGAGACACAGTAAAGGATCTACAGATGAGCTGCTGTCTGTTTTCTGATTCAAAAAAGTAAAGTGAGTGAGGATGTTCCTGAAACAAGACTGACTGTGAACTTACAAGGGCTGGAGCTGAGTCATGGCTCATTATACCTTTTTCCTCTCAGTTATGTTTTGTATTTTCAGTAACATTAAAAGAAAAAAAATTTTTTTTAATTCCCAAAATGTGTGACAAGAAAAATACACACACACAAAAAAGGGGTAAATTATGAAATGTCATCAAAGAACTAACAAGCCATAACTAAACCATGCTAAACCAGTAACAAAAAGCCAGGCCTCAAGTTAAAAGAAAAAAGGATGGATAGGTAGTGCCCAAGTGCCTGGCAATCGCAGATGGCGGCAAAGACATGGATCTACTGTAAACTTGCTGCTAACGAGGCAGCAAAGTGGAAGAAGCCCTTTGGAAAACTATTCCTGTGCTACCCAGCAATGTCAATGATGCACACACCCTGTGACCATCGTTCCTCTCCTAGGTTTGTAGCCCAAAAAGGTGAATCCAAAGGGTACTTGAAGACACGTACAAGAACATTTACAGCATCAATGTTCAGAGAAGGCCCAACTAGAAAACTCCAACACACCCCACCACTCGGCCAAAAAATAGTTTTCAATAAAGCTTCTAAGAAAAAGTACCTTAAAAAAATATCAAACTAGTTAAGGACATACTTTACCAAAAGATGTTGTAAAAGGAGAAAGAACACAGAATCTGGGACAGGATAGAACGCAAATTCTCAAGGGATCTTTATAAGACTGAAGGACAAATAAATTAAAAATTACAAGACTAATGGCTCCGAGAAGGAATCCTGAAAGCCAACAGACTTGAGCACTGAGGAGTCTGACTGGTGAGTAACGGAGATCTCTGGTCAGCCGGGGTGGTGACACAGGCCTACTGTCTCGGCACTCTGTAGGTGCAGCACAAGCTATACAGTGAGCCTGCCTCCGTATCAGCACAACAGCAGGAGAGAGGCTCTGTGAGCAGTCTCCATCGTCACAGGCCATCAGCATCCAACAATGACTTGACTATACAGATGCAGGGTGGGAAGGACACTTGTAGATGGGGTTAAGAGCTGAAACATCTGTCACTGTAGGAATTCAACAGCTAGGTCACTTGTCACTCTGCAATGCAGAGCACCCAGGTTGGGTTCCCAGAACCATCCACAACTCTAGTTCCAGTGGATCTGACACCATCTTCTCCTCCATGGGCAGGAGGCGTGCATATGGTGCACATACATACATGCAGGCCAAACAATCACAACACACACATACACAAAAACCCCCAACATTGTAAAAACCTAAAAAATGTTTACTATACATACAAAGTCACAGCTGAATATATATGTAAAATAGAGCAAACATGATCAAGAGCATAACTTATTTTAAAAGTACAATTTTTACCTTATAAAAGTTTCCATATGACTTTCGAATATTGATCCACTTTTTAGCAAAGGGAGGGTATTTGAGCCTGCTGAGCTGGCACTGGATGTTCAAGAACTTACTCATATCCCAGGAACTTATCAAAAGAGAAAAAGGGTATAAAGTAAATGCTAAACTATTATTACAAACAATACTTTAAGTTGTTCTTTTAGTTCTTCTTATGTTGACCTCATATTCACACAAAATACCATGCTTAGAAAATTAACTGATTCCCAGAAAATACTTTAAAACCAAAACCAAAAACAAACAAACAAACAAACAAACCCAAAAAAACCCCGCAGTATCTTCTTTCCAAACCAATTCTTCCTGGGCTCATCTTTACTGCTTTTGTGGTTCTGATTCCTGCCAAACTGCCGCCTTGCTGTAACTGCTCAGCTTGAATGTCACACCAAATGTATCACTGAAGTTCTTTAAGAGTATGCCTTGACATGAAACATGTAAGCAACTAATTTAGAGACAAATTTTAGGGGTTAAATAAACCTGACCTGCTGTTTCTCTACACGGTGCTTACTGCGGGACAGTGTGCATTGCACTCCTTAATCCTAACACTGCAGCACACGAACCAGCCAGATCACACAGTGAGGCCTTGTCTCAAAACCAAGCCAGGGGAGTACTGAGTGCGCAACGTGGAAATCAGTGCATTCGAGTGTGGCTTTTCTCAGGCAGAGTCAAAAACAGCAGTAACTAGAACCTTCCGTGGGAAATTTTTACAATCCCTCAACTCAGCTGCTGTAAAAACTACTGCATACCCAGGAGCCTACTGCTGCTGTGTACTTTTAACAGCCCTCACCCACCCTAAGCCTATTCCCTGAGCTGCCTGGGGGCATCAATTACTAGTTTTGCTGCCGCTCTAATTAAAAAACAAACCAACCAACCCGTACTGATTTTGAATACCTATCCCCGAATTTAAGGTCATGTGTGAAGATCTCGAAGTCCTTCTGTGTCGGCACCGTCCTGACAGGGGAGCACACACCACCATGGCATCAACCATACCTGAAGCTCGTCAGGGCTTCTTCCTTCCCCTTTAATGGCACTGTGGTCTAGTGACCTTGGGACAATGTCTGTAATCCTGTCAACCCTTCAGACCTTCCTATGCAGCTCTTCATTTTCCCCTTTTCTTTTTTGGAGAAGAGGTCCAAGTAGGTTTTTGAGATAGGGTCTCAAAATACAGTTGAGGCTTGCCTCAAATTCACCATGTAGGCTGACCTTGAACCCCTGATCCTCCTGCCTCCAACTCTCAAGTGGGGAGATTACAGGAGTGCCCCCACACCCAGCTCTCACTCCCCTTTCCATTAAACAGATAACTCTGGACTCGGTAGGTACTACAGGAAGTGTTATGGAAGACTACGGGGTAATAAAAGGACTGTTCTGAAAGGCCTTCCAACTTCCTTACAAAAAGATCACACACCAGATAGTCACATGGCTGACATTTACTGGTTGAGGACTTTCACAAGAGACGGAAAGACCAACGTGAGTCGTGGTGCCAGGGTAAAGCAAAAGGAAAAGCTGGTAGAGAAGAGACTCTCCCAGAAGAAAACAGGAAGTGGACAGGGAAAGGTAAATCCCGAGGATGAACGGGCAGCCTGAATAACGGCGGGTGACACAGGTGTGAGTGTGTCTGTGCGTGTGTGTACGCCAAGCTGAAGGCCTCTGAGAGCAGGTAAATGTCATGATGGAACAGGGCTACAGAGAAGCGGTTTCAGCGTCCTGTATGGTATGTATCATTCTGGGTCTCTAGTCACAGACTTGATGATGGTGGCCTTCCCTCCTTCCTTCCATCCTAGGAATTCAGACTAGGAAAAGAACATGAAAAGAAAAACACTGTCTTGTGGAGTGACTCCTGGGAACTTTTAATGAGTAACACTGGACATTCTAGCCGTGCAAAGAGTAAGAGCCTCTTCACTGTTAAAAGGATTTAAACCTATTTTCCTACTTACCCATCTGTTAATATGCAGTACTTGTACTTAGTGCCCAATTCCTTTGACTTCATCCACTCAATTACTTTCTTCAGGACCTGAGGGAAAGCATCGGCTCTGTCTACCTGATCCTGAAGACACAAAAGGAGAGCAAGTTTAGGGCAGCTGCTGCTTGTAGCCCTACAACATGCCCAGGCACGACCTGGAGAGAAACAAACAGTATGTGAACTGTGAATTCAATGATTGAGATCTACTTACCACCTAAATGTTCATCTGAGATTATTGAAATCATTTTATGGCCAAGAACTAAAGACTGCTTTCAAGTGAGTGTGCAATTCTCCCAAAATTAGGAACTAAGATTGTCCTGGTTTTGTCAGCTGACACCTAGAGTCACCAGGAAGAATGACCCTCAACAGAAGGACTACTGGATACCTGGTCGGCGAGTGGCCTGTGGGGAACTTCCTTGACTGCTCATGCAGGAAGGCCAAACCCACCTGGGCAGAACCATCCCTGGGCAGGTGGCTAGGGATCCTGGCTGTATAAGAAAGCTAGGTCTGCTTCCTCTCTGCCCTGACTTCCCTCAGTGATGGCCTGTGATCCAAAAGCGCAGGATGAAGTAAACCATCTCCTCCAAGTAGCTCTGGTGGTGGTGTTCACTACAGCACCAGAAGTGAACGAGAACAAGGACCGACCACCTCAGTGGCTCTCTCTGTGATTAAGTGACTCTTCAGACAGCAGCAGACTTTCCTCTAAGATATAGCCCTGAAGTATTCTATCTCGTCTCACTTCTCCGCACTACATTACACTACAGTATGGGGCACATCGTACCACACTGCCATGAGGCTGGACTTCAAACTGTCAATCTGATACACTGCCTGTCTCTTACACTTGCTTTCAGGATAGGGACCCTTTCTGATTAGCTTGCCTCTGCCGAGCTCAAACACAGTCTCAAGAATCCATAGATTTGAGCCATCCCGAACTACGCTGAGTTCTGCCACAGCACACCTAGAATGTCCAGTCCTTCCTTTCTGTCCATTTACTTATCAAGATTCCGTCCAACTTCACCAACCTGAAGACATGTCTCAGGGCAGCCCTACCTTCCAACACAGATGTAAGCCTCCTGTACAGATGTCTACACAACCTAATAAAATACTGACTTGTCACTCTTCCTAGCCAAGCTGTGACTACTGGCTTATTCTGTCTGACCCCAACTTAGACTTGAAATATACAGTGGGCACTGAACTATGTCGAGAGTCAGCAAACTAATGAAGGATCCAGATAAATTAAAAAAGGCCTACACATGAAAATATAGACAAAACCAGAGACTGGCCACCAAAGGTATATAGTCAAGACTGTAAACAGGCACGGTCTAAATCCTGTCTGTGCATATAGCAGTGACACATCTTACCAAAGCTCCATTTCTCAGCTGCAATCGCGACTGCATCATGACAACTCCATGGGTGTGAGGGGGAGCAGGGAGCAACAAAATGCTATCAAGTGTAGCGCTGACTCTTGGGCTTTGACTTCTGTTTCTAAGTGAGGCTCCGTCAGTGCTGCCCAAGCTGGTCTCAAATGTCTGTGCTCAAGAGAGCATTCAGCCTCAGAATTGAGGCCCTATTCCCTTAACATGTGAGACTACAATACACACCACTGCACCAGCCCTAAGACCTTTTGTTTGTTTTAAAAAATTATTTTGTTGTTATATATAATTACTAATTTATTATTTTTTAAAAAATTCTTTAATTTTGTGTTATGTAGGTATTTTGCCTTTATGTGTACCATGTGCAAGTTCAGTGCCTATGGAGGCCAGAAAAGGGCATTGGATCCTGGATCTGGAGTCACAGACAGTTGTGAGCTACCATGTGGGTGCTGGGAATGAACCCATGTCCTCTGAAAGAACAGCCAATGCTCTTAACTGCTGAACCATCTCTACAAACCATCTCTTTGTTGTTGTTTTAATTACAGTATGAAAGACTTTTACCAAGCAAGGAAAACAGCACATTAAATTGCTCATAATGATATTCTTTAAACTATCCACAAAATAAATCACCGATTTAAAGATTTCTTTCAAATTCAAAATAAACAACCACCCACCACTCAAACTAACAGAAATGAAGAGAGAATTCTCACCTGAGTAATTCCAGTAAGATTGATGCAGAAATCTGAAAGATGTGAGTTAACCTCTGGCCTCACGTACTGCTGGAACGTATCTTCCTGCAGGGAAGGACACAGTGAAAGTGCTGTATGTGACTACAGTCCATGACACATGGGAAACAAATCCAGCCACAGCAGAATTACACAGCTATCCATGGCAGGGCATTTCAGAGCTCCTAAGGACAATTTCCCAACAAAAAGCCTTCTGATACCCAAATGTAAAGTCACAGTTCATTTTGATTTTTAAAAACATCATGTCAGCAGGTATCTAAAAGCAAACCTTCAAGGTTGTGGCAAGTGTTTTCCTGGCATGTAAAATGTTGGTCATTTTGTTTGTTCTATGTTAAGAATATTAAGCCTATTAAGTTGGTCCTTTATGATAATGGGTTTTTAAAATGATGCATTCTTTTGAGGAAATGAGGCTTCAGTCACAGGAAACCAGCCCAAGACTAAATAAATAAATAAATGGGTTTAATAATAAATAAATACATAAAAACAGGAGACAATTAGAGGTAAGAGGCGGCTAGGTCATACATGGAATATGTGTTTTATTTAAAGTTAGGTCAGGAGTCATGGAAAGGTTTTGAAAGGGTTCCACGTGCCCCTGTGTTGGAATCGGCTGGTAACAGGATAACAGACCTACTGATGAAGGCCAGCCAGTCTGGAGTGGGCAGGCAAGAGAACTAAGAGATCCCACCAAACAACATGGAAGGAGAGAACCACCTCCCCAAAGCTGACCTCTGACCTTCACACATGGGCTGTGGCATGCATGCGTGTGCACCCTCACGCACACATCTTTGTAAATATTTAAAAAGAATACACAGCTTAAACTTGACTGAAGGAAGTGGGTCTAGGAGACAGTGGGAAGAAAGCACATGAAGACAGAAGTGTATGTACCTTATCTGAAGAGTTCTTCCTAAAGAAGAGAAGAGGGGTAGCCGGCAGTACAGTGGAATAAAAGGAGGATTTCCCTGTGGTGGGACAGCACGTGATGAGAACACACCAGAAAGCGATGTGCCCTAATGTCTAAGTGCTATAAGTGCCCTAAACTGGAGAAGAAAGGAAGTCCTACAAGTTATCCAGGGTATCTATCTGCCTTCACAGCTGCCGTATGTCCTTTTTGACCATTAATCTGTTTGGGAGAAGGCCACTTTAGAAACAGCCGAATGTGCAGGTGGCACAACTAGTAAGAGACCCACTTCAACAAGACGTGAGGAGAGAACTAAGTCCCGAAAGCTGTCCTCTGACCTGCACTACCAAGGGGGATGGCGAGGAAGAACAGACTAAACGAGGCTGTGAACAGAAAAGCCATGCGTTATCATGTACAAGGCCTTCCTGACGTAGTGACTAGACAGATGAGGCATGGTGATGTCTCTTCGATCACACTTGATAAGGTAAAAAGTATTGTTTCGAGGAGTACCTTCTATCATGTCCTAAACCAACAATGCAGTGCCTATAATTACTTAAGGCATACATATACACAGACTGGGAATTAAGGTCCAGCTGCCCGTCCCCCCTTGTAGATTATTTTAAGGTGTTACTTTTGTTTATGCTGCATTTGTTTAACTCTGTGAAGCTGTGTTACTGTGCCCGTCTAAAACACCCGATGGTCTAACAAAGAGCTGGACGGAGAATAGCAAGGCAGGAGAAAGGACAGGCGGGGCTGGCAGGCAGAGAGAACATACAGAAGGAGAAATCTCAGAGGAGGACTCCAGGCACCAGACACCCAGTTACACCTCCAGCCAAGGAGTGAGAGTAAGATTTATAGAAGTAAGAGAATAGGAAAAGCCCAGAGGCAAAAGGTAGCCAGGATAATTTAAGTTAAGAAAAGCTGGCTAGAAACAGGCCAAACTAAGGCCAGGCATTTATAAGAATAAGTCTCTGTGTGTAATTTATTTGGGAGGTGGGTGGCAGGCCCCCAAAAGCGCAAAAACAACAATCAACAGGCCCCACCATGCCATCAGCAACTATTTCTACAAACTACCCTCCACCCTCACTGAACATCAAAACCATAAGCTGATACATTCCACAGAACTAGATTCTTATCTCTGGGACCAGGGCCAGGCTCCAGGGTATTTTTTCTGTTTTATCTGTCACTTCCCTAGAGATTTGCCATCCGCTCAGATCTTCTAAGCAACAGAAAAAGCACCACAATTTCAGCTCACGGAGAGGAAGAAAAGCAGGAAGTGCTTCATTATGATTTTACTATTAATCATGCTGATAGGGAGCTCACAGCAATATGCAAAAATCTCCTTTTGGAATTTTATTTCCAGCTAGAATGGCAAACAGGCGCTTCCAGCTTCCTACTGAACACTAGAATAGTTCCAACTAAAAATAAGATGAAAATGCAATTTTCATTTCTTACTTACTATTTCTAAGGTGTGTATATTCAACAGAACAACAGGAAACTCAATGATTTCATGCAGAAAATCAGCTGGGTTTCCCTCTTCACAAGTAGCCTCAAAGTCAATAATACAAATGTAGTCATAGTAACTGTCCACAGAATTGCTTTCTTTCAACATCAACTTCTGCTTCTTGTAATAGTTTTTCAATCTCTTCTTTAGGACATCCTTGACTCCTCTAAAAAACAGAAGATTGGGCGAACGTTACAGTCAAGAATCCCAGGTCCTAACTGCTGGCAGTGGTTGAACAGCCGCAGGCACAGAGCTGAAACAAATGGAAGGAAAGAAAAACTCAACACTAAGTTAGCAAAGAGCCAATGAAAACAAAATGCTTACTATGACCAATCTTCTTCACAAGAGAAGTCTTTTCTTCATTATATCTAGTATTTCAAGCCATAACCTTGCACACACACATAACACTGCTCTATATGCTATAATATATGATATAAAAATTGAAGATAACTGGACAAACAGTAACATTAAGTGAGAAAATGCAGATTGAACACATCATATTCTTTCTTCTGGCATTCATGGGTTAGACAACTAAACAAACGAAAAACCTCTTAAGGGTATGAAAGCATTACGGCCCTCAAGTGGAACGTCTTATAGCTACTTCAAAAGTAATTTAGGATAAACCCCCAGAGCATGCTTTGAGAGAACACTACTATACTCACAGTTCTCTAAAAGTAGGTAGGTCACATCGCCAATAGGGGACTTAACTGACGTGTTGTAAGCCTTTTGTTTTCCTTTCTAAACTGCTACTGACACACTGAACAAGTATCCTACTTGTGGAAACTGAAAATCAACCAGCTGCTTGTTCTTAGACTATTTTAGTGTTTTCTTCTTTCTGAGACAGGGTCTCATTATGTAGTCCTGGCTGTCCTGGAACTCACTGTGTAGACCCAGCCAGCCTCGAACTCAGAGATCCACCTGCCTCTGCCTCCCAGTTACCAGAATTAAAGTCATATACCACCATGCCCGGCATTTTAGTGTTTTCTTTACACATTATCCAAACCTAGAAAAGTCCCTCAACCCTTTCCATATTAAGACAGTGAGAGCCCTGTGAGGTGTGACTACCTTCTTGTCTGTCACTTTATTTACTGTTTCCCTAAGGAAATGGCACTGCACACCTGGCGGCAGCACCAACATTGAACCAGCCGTCCCGTTGGAAAACTTCTCCCTCTACCATCCGCCTGGCTCCTCCTTATCCAAACACCACGTTTACCAGCTCTGCCGCTGCACACTACCTGAACCAGGCTCTCCTCAATCCTCTCCCCACAGCTTCTCGGAGTTTCTTGGACTATGGCAGAGGCCCCCGCGATCTCCACCTCACTGAAGAACTGAGCACTACTTCAATTTCCCATGTAAGTCATCTCAGTGGCTTCCTTCTATTCGCACAGGGTTCCTATATTCAGGACCACTGTCAAACATCCCTTCTCCCCACAGCACACTGCCACACCCTAAGTTATGGATAAAGCATACTGTGTGCCGTAGCTGGACTAGACAACATGCTTTTGAATTCTTTAAGTTTGACTCTACAACAAAGACAAGAATATATGACTGAAAACACACAAACAGAAATTACAAGGTTTTCTGTTTTTAATTTCTTTTTGCCTGAAATAAGCTCCTTCCCTGTCCTATCTGTTGTAATTTAAATGTCACATTTCTGAATTCCTGGGACACACCGCTTTATGCCCTCAGCTGCACTGCAGTACTCAGACCTCCAACACCACCGTGACCGCTCTAATCGTGACATTTGTGTGTTTTCACAAGACTGAGATTTGCAGAGTGGGGGAATGTATCTGTATTTACCTTTATAATGTCAATGTCTAGTGTAGTGCTTAGAGTTCAATACAGGCTTGTTGAATAAATGGATAAGCATACATCTAGACCTCTAGCTCCCATGTAAGCCAGGAGTAAGCAACTGATCTTCACACCTGGGAAGAACAAAAATTTTTCTCAGACATCTTCTGTAGGCCACAGGTTGTACTTTAATAACAGAAAGAGTCAAGAGAAAATAAAATCAAAACTTTCCTTACAAACTATGATACAGACAACCTGGAAGGGGAGAACAGGTAGGTGCTCTTTTGAAAAGTACCACAGTTCCATCTGAAAACCAGTGGAGGCAGGCCACTTAGAAGGAATAAGAATTCTGACTGCCCTGAAACAATGTTTTCAACTATTACATACAGTCAGGTTTTTTTTTTTTCCTTGATATCAAACACTGTGCATATTTCTGGACGATAAAAGCCAGAATGCCACATACCCCAAACTTTAAAAAAAAAAAGTGGGAGGGGCTAGAAAATAGTTCTGAAAACGCATGTGTCTGTTTCTTAGAAGACAGAGGGTTCATTAAGCTACACTTTCTTATTCAGTACAGTTAAATGTGATGGATACAACAGCTCCTTCAGAAACTAAAACAAAGCGACTGACTGTAAGTGAATGATTTCTACCTCATTTCAGACAAAACTTCTGTCATAAAAATATCCTCTATCATGTCAACTAAACGAGCAACTATTACGCAAAATTTTCAAGACCAGTATGGTGAAAAGCCTTCCCCCAGGAGGCAGGGAGAGGAGGGCTGTGTGTTCAAGGCCAGCTGCTCAGACAACACAAAAGCTCGTGTCAAAAGTAAAAACTCAACATACTTGCTATAACAAACGTGACTATACATCTATACAACGATGGTACATTTCTAAAATAGTCACAAACTTTGATTCGGAGACCTCCTTTTGCTATCTAAAGGAGAACAATACAAAGTTGCATGCCAAGACTCATGTTAAAGAATATAAATTATGCTGGGCGGTGGTGGCGCACGCCTTTTAATCCCAGCACTCGGGAGGTGTGAGGCCAGCCTGGACTACCAAGTGAGTACCAGGAAAGGCACAAAGTTACACAGAGGAAACCCTGTCTCGGCGGGGGGGGGGGGGGGGGGGGGGGGGGGGGGGGGGATATATAAATTACAGTTGTGATTTGAATGATCACATAGTAGGAATTTTTTTGTTTTAGTATTTTCAAAAATGAGCAAGCACTACTTCTGTAATTGTAAGGTTATTATGGTTTTGGGAAATAGAGTGTATTAGCTGTTTTAAGCAGCAGGTTAAAGTTAGTTTTAATTACCTTGTTTCAAGTTTAAATTCTGAGAGTTTGGCTTTGAGTTCCTCCTTACTCATTCTGTTAATACAACCATTTGTCATTGCAATCTCTTTGTAAACTGGGTCACTGAAGTCACTTCCATTGGAGGTAATGATCTTACATCCAACTGTTTCTTTGCCATCAAGTCTACATCGCTGCTTTTTCTACGAAAAAGAGAGAGAGGTCATTTGTAATCAGTGCAAATACATATTTAAAGATGCAAACTCCTAAGTGTTCTCCATGCCGTATGTTCAATGAAAAGTTCCCCCTTGACACCAGAGGAGGAGGACAGGAAGATGAGAGATGTGTTTCCAAGATAATTGGCCCTGCTCTGTTCTGAGTCATGAGACTCCTCAGAGGCAATGAAGCTAAGTAAAAAGAGGATGGATTATAGAGTCAGGGCCATGACAGTCTGGGGCCCCAGCTGGCCAATTATAGCAGCATGGCCTTGGGCATTTATTAGCCACTCATCTGCAGTTCTCTCACCTATACAAATATACTTGTCCTAGATGGTATTTGGTAATGGTAAACAGTATTTAGGTAGCATCTATTCTAAGTATGAGCTTGCGTACACAGCAGGCTAACTACTAATGAAAGATAATTTTATTTACAATCATCAGACTATAGACAAGCCCTTTCACAAACAGTATCCTGAAACTTAGAAATAAGCCAAGTTTAAGTGACCTTTTACACCATTGTGTATGGGAGCCCGTTTTCAGGTTCCTAGTGGCTTTACCCAGCAGGTCTGCTCTGCATAGAGGATGATTGGACCACAGGCCTGCATGCAGGTGTCTGAGATGGTCTGCACTGGGTTGTGCTGAGGGGAGGAGGTCTTTTGCTCCATCCCTTGGCATTTCTATAAATACTCTAGGGCAGAGACAGTCAGGGTCCACTGGAATAGGTTCCAGGCCCTCTCGAGGCTACTCTGTATTTTCAATCTGTTTCTCCCCCCTCTAATCCTAATATTTCCTGCTGTTCCTACTCAAGAGCACTCTGAGGAAATGTGGGGGTGGTGGGTAGCCCCCCAACTGTGCATGTATGAATCAGCGACCTCCCTACTTTTTAGCTTGGCTTTATTTCACAAAGTTAACAAAACCTTCCCCAAATGAAAAGAAAACAGACTTCCAGTCCAGTACTAAAACTTCCGAGGACTTAAAGCAAACAAATGAATTCTGTTTCAAAGCTCCCACGTTAAGTCCCACATTTATCAGTTATTCAGATCTACAGTGTTGCCTTTCTGTCACATGACTCCACTCTGTTTTCCCCATAGGTAGACCTGAACCACAAATACACTAATTTCTTTTTTCTTTTTTTGGTTTTTCGAGATAGGGTTTCTCTGGGTAGCTTTGCGCCTTTCCTGGAACTCGCTTTGGAGACCAGGCTGGCCTCGAACTCAGAGATCCGCCTGGCTCTGCCTCCCAGTGCTGGGATTAAAGGCATGTGCCACCACCGCCCGGCTCAAATACACTAATTTCTAAAGCTAATTATGTTCTACATTCAATGCTACAAACATTAGTTACGTTTTCAGCACTGTCAAAAACAGTTTATTTACTATTAACACATTAATGCCTATTCACTTGGTCATAATACAGTTCCTAACTTAAAACTCATCTGGAAAGGATCAAGGATTACCTCCCACTCTCAACTTTCAACTCAATGGGACCAACTTACTGGTAGTGTACTGCAAGGTCCTGGGCCTGAGTACTCACAGTTCTCACTGTTAGCCCCTTTGAGAAAAGGGCCAGCAATTTCAATGCCTGAATCATGGAAGGGAATAACATTATCAAAACTACCTGTTACAAAAACAAAGCCCTTACTTTGTAAATTAATATATGCTTATACAAATTTTTTTTAAATTACATTGCACTTCGACCAAGAAAATAATTAGCTTTCAGGAATATTTATATTTCTCCTTAGACATTATCAGGATAATTTATTCTTTTTTTGTTTTGTTTTTCGAGACAGGGTTTCTCTGTGTAGCTTTGCGCCTTTCCTGGAACTCACTTGGTAGCCCAGGCTGGCCTCGAATTCACAGAGATCTGCCTGGCTCTGCCTCCCGAGTGCTGGGATTAAAGGCGTGCGCCACTACCGCCCGGCCTAATTTATTCTTTATATTTAAACTTACAAAGAATTTTAAGCTCCATCTTTATTCAGGTTACAAAACTGTCAACATTAAAGAATATTTTAACCAAAACTGTTGTCTTAGTTAATTCATACAAATTCTCTTCTAATAACTCCATTCTGATACACTTGAAGAATTCTTATAGAGCTTTGAAAATTTACTTCTTCTAGACATATAACACAAACACACTTCTTCTAGACATATAAATAGTAACTTCTATAAAGATTTATCTTTGCTACTAAGGACAATTCCATCCTTGATTTTGGGAAAATTGTTTCCTCCTAAACTTGAGGCCTACACTACAAGTTCTCCCCCCTCCCAAAAAAAAAGATGATGTTTAAATAAACCTACAAAGGAATAGAAGGAAATATTCAAAAGCCTATATGCATGAATTATCTACAAATACACATTAATTTACTAAATTAATGCCCAAGATTAGCACTAGCATCCACTCCAGTCTTTAGATCCATCTGTCATGTCTCATACAGGACTGGCCAGATAAGAAACGTGGAGATGAATTCACAACACGGAAAGAAATACTCATTTTCATAGAACCTTGACATTCTGGAATTTTCATGTACCCAATTAAATATATGCATAGTTTCTATTACCACAAATAAGACATCCTTTTACATTATGGGAAATGATCATCAACTTCTACATTAATTTGCTATAACATAGAGAAGTACTTTCAAGTGTGGAACTTAAGAATGGGTTGCACACTTTCCAGAATTAAAAATATGAGTACCTAAAAAAATGGTTGTTCTTTTTCTATTGAGAAGGGGGCTCTAGCTTGAGTCTTTGAAAGCCCTTTTTAAAGAACACGACCTACTGTTTCTGAGGTGAGACTTTTATAAAATATAACTACTGCTAAATAAAACCTGTTTCCACATCTTGCTGCCAAAACTATGCACTGTCTACTTACAAAAGAAAAGCTTTTGCATCTGCACACCAAAACAAAAATGTTCAAACATTAAAATGTTTCTTCTTTCCTTCTGCTAGTTTACATCAACCATTGAAATTAGAATCAATGGAAATTTACTAGATAAATCTCAAAACAACAAACAACTTTGTGTGGCTGAAATCAAGGAAAAAATATATACACTCATTTATTAAAAGCACTTAACAGTAAGGTTTTTAGTTTTTTCGAGACAGGGTTTCTCTGTGTAGCTTTGCGCCTTTCCTGGATCTCGCTCTGTAGACCAGGCTGGCCTCGAACTCAAAAAGATCCGCCTGGCTCTGCCTCCCGAGTGCTGGTATTAAAGGCGTGTGCCACCACTGCCCGGCAACAGTAAAGTTTTAATGAACAAAATAATCCCTAAAATCAATCCGAATACAGACCCAGGCCACAAAACATTCTATTTCAAAGTTTCAGGACCTTGAAAGACAATGAAGTTTATTCGGGTTTTCTTATGAAGCTTTGCAAATTAGCTTTAAAACTGACTCAGATGATGTTATTGACAACATGTAGTAGAACGAAAGGGGCATCTTTCCAGATGGCGAACTTAACAGAGTACCAACTTAACAATGGCAATAACGCTGTAAAGATTCGGAGGAAGAGGGGCCAGGACAAGGGGAACACAAGATCTTTAAGGAAGAAAACCCTCCACCACAAAAGAACACAGGGAAGTCAGAGCGGACAGCAAAGATGTGCATGTACTATGCAATAGGCAAAGGCGGCAGGGGCGAACTGAAGGCACAGAATGAGGGGAGTAAACTAGCTATATTCAGACTATTACAAGATCACTCTATAGCAATTTCTGCTCTTGCAAGAGGACCAGAGTTCGGTCCCCAGGACCCATATCTAAACCTCCTATTCTGGCCTTCGCAGGCACTTGCACACACGGGAATCCATTTACACACATATACATTAAAAAAACACATTGAGCCGGGCGGTGGTGGCGCACGCCTTTAATCCCAGCACTCGGGAGGCAGAGCCAGGCGGATCTCTGTGAGTTCGAGGCCAGCCTGGGCTACCAAGTGAGTTCCAGGAAAGGCGCAAAACCACACAAAGAAACCTTGTCTCGAAAAACAAACTAACAAACAAAAAATAACATTGTAAAGGCTATTCTGGCTACTACAGCACGGTGCAAATGGAAAGAACAAAGGCACTGGGGAGCCTCTTCATCACACCCACTTTTCGACATTTTGGTTTTGAGCCTCCACTTCCACGGCTGAGCAGATGATCCTCCCTCTAGCCCTGCCAATACCCTCGACCCATAGTACTCCACTCCGACGACGAAAAAGGGACGGGCTTCGGGCATCTCATTCACAACCCGCAGCGCCAGCCAGCACTAACTAGTTCATCAGGATGAATACATTTAAGTCTGGGGATCCGGCTTACAATCCTGCCGGCGTGGCGAGGAGGGGCCAGGGCGGGGTAGCAAATTCCTTAGAAAGCCGTTCCTGGCTGGGCTCTGGGAGTGACAGCAGGGGACAGAGCAAGACAGGGTGGGTGGGGACCGGTGCAGACGGCAGTGGGGTCGGCCGTCCGGGGCTGGGGCGGAGGCACAGGCGGGCGGCGCTCAGGAAGCTCACCCGGGGTGGGGAAAGCGCCGGAGCCCGCTCAGCCAATCAGCGCCGCGGGGCCTGACGGACCGGCAGTGCGCCCGCGCGCGCCGAATGGTCACGCAGAATTCTCACTCGGAACTTCCCGCCCGACCTCCTCTCCCTCACGCGGAGGGGGTGCTCGCCCCGCCGGGGACGGGGACCGCGAAGCGCGGCAGCCCCGCGCGAGCAGCCTCACCTCCACGCTCAGCGGCCGCGGCTCCTCACACTCGGGCCGCCGCGTCTTCTGCTGAGCCGCGTCGCCGCCGCCGCCGCCGCCGCCGCGGGGCCGGCCCCGCTCGTCCTCCATGCTGCCTCTCACCGCCCGGGAGAGGGCCGCCAAAGCCGCTCGCCCCTGCTCCGCCGAGCCCCGCGAAGCCGCCTTTTCTCCCTTCAACAAAACAAAACAAATAAAGAGAAAACTACCGCGCTCCCCGTTCCCGCGGCGGCCGCCACACAAACTCCGCCGGACACCTCCTACTTCCGGGAGCGTGGGGCGTCGTCACGCCGCGCAGGCGTCGTGGGCGGGACTAGGATCCCGCGCGCGGGCGCGCCGGGCCGGGGGGGCGTGGCCTGGGGGAGTGGGCGTGGCCGAGCCGCGCTTTCAAAGGCGTTGCCCGCTGCCTAGGCGGCGTCTCTGAAGCCGCCGTCATTAGCGGTTGCTGCGGGTTTTAAGATCTTTTCCCCAGGAACTCAAAACGCCTGTGTATTTCCTTCCTGTAGCCGAAGTTGCTTTGAAAACGGCCCGTGTGAGCCGGGCGGTGGTGGTGGCGCATGCCTTTAATCCCAGCACTCCGGAAGCAGAGGCAGACGGATCTCTATGAGTTCGAGAACGATAGACAGAGCTATGCATAGGCGCACTCCTTTAATCCCAGCGCCTGGGAGGCAGAGGCAGGTGGATCTCTGTGAGTTCAAGGCCAGCCTGGGCTACCGAGTGAGTTCCAGGAAAGGCTCAAAGCTAAACAGAGAAACCCTGTCTCAAAAAACCAAACAAACAAACAAACAAACAAAACAAAACAAAACAAGAAACTGTCTCGAAAAACCAAAGAAAAGAGAGGGGGAAAAAAAACCCCAAAACAAAAAACGGCCAGTGTGATCTTTGCCCTTCTGCAGATGTGTTCATGTCTAGATACCGCAGGTTTCCACTCGGCTAGTTGCACGCTTAAATCTACAGGATTTCCTCCCTTTCTGTTGCTGTTTGGCATTCTCTGGCATTTTTTAATCATTTCATTTAGGGAAATTTTCATTCATCATGCGCTCCCCACTTTGTGTTCATGGGTGTTTTACCGGCAGGTATGCCTGCATCCTGTGTGTGCAGTACCCCAGGAGGACAGAAGAGGGCGTGGTATCCTCTGGATTGGAGTCGGAACCAGTTGGGAGCTGCCACATGGGTGCTGGTGTTAGAAGTAAGTTTGAGAAGCAAAGGAAGAGACCACCGTTCCAAATGAAGTGTCTGGGCAAGGCAAACTTTACTCTTGACCAAGCGGGCGTGCTCAGAAGAGTGAACACACAAGAGACAGGAAGTGTGTTTGGTGTTTATTCTAACTTTGGTGGTGGTGGTGTTTCTTCCATGTTGCCTGGGGTCCAGTCTCAGTCTTATTCAACTGGATAGTCTGAAAAGAATTGGAAATGGAGGAAGGGGAAAAGGGTCACTGTGCCAGGCCATCCAGGTCCTAGAATAAAAGAGCAGTTCTTTGTGCAAACAATGGTTTTTCTGGTTCTGGAGGACTGAAACATTTGCATTAAAGTCTTAACGGGGTGGGGGGTGGGGGGTGGGATGGGGGGGGTGGGGGGGAGATTAAAAAGATTCTTTGTCCAAAACACAAGTTTTATAGTATTTCTAGAAAAAATTTCATTAATTTTATTCTATGTGCATGAGTATTTTGCCTACATGTCCATCTATGCACACTGCATGTACGTGCAGCGTGAGAACCCCTGAGATTGGAGTTTCAGATGGTTGCCAGCTGCCACGTGGGTGCAGGAACCGAACACTTGTCCTTTGCAAGAGCAGCGCAGGCTCTTACCAGCTAAGCTGTATTTCCAGCCTCTTCATTGGTTCCTGAAGTTGTAGCTTCCTCCAATTCTTTTCTGTCTGGGATTCATAATAGAGATATTAACATTGTGCTTCAGCCTTTCTTAAGTTTCTATTTCTCGTATCTTCATTTTCTTTCTCCAAGCTATTGGAGGTCATTTATGATAGACTCCTCCCCCACTTCAGCAGCCGCAGCTTGTAAGACCAGAAACTAAAACTACATGACTGTGGTTCCTAGTCAGAGAACTGGAATCTGAGCCATGTCTCTAGATTAATCTGCCTCACACGAGGCCTTACAGAACAAGAGCACACCTCCATTCCCTCCTGATCCAAATGGGCCTGTCAATCACCAGTGCAAGGGGCGGAAACCCCATCCCCTAGGAAAAACTGTATTCTAGAGACTAGAACTGGTCTAGTTAACCAGTTAACTAGAGCACAGGTTGGCATGGTCTCTTTGGCCTTTGTCCAAACTCACTCATTGAGAGTATGTCCTCTATAACGGTGCCTTCGGTGACCGTCCGTACACCTTGAAAGTGCTCCATTTTCTCTGTCATAAACCCAGGAGGGAGAGAGGTGGCCCAGTGGTTGGGAGCAGAAGACTGAAGTTTGCTCTCAAGTACCCACATTGGGTGGCTCCTAACTGCCTGTAGCTCCAGCTCCCGAGGATCTGACACTGACTGCCCTGACCTCCTAGGACGTGTACACACAGACATGTACACACTAAATAATAATAATAATAGTATTAATAATAACAACAATAATATTTTTCTATACTATACTTTTTTTCCTCTGAATTCTTTCCGCAGAATTCACAAGGACCAGGGAGCCAAAGGGACTCCAGCGTGAGATCTCTGTGATAGTGTCTCCTAGAAAAGTTCCATAATCTTGATTCTACAAATCTCTCTTGGGGTTGTTGCTATGACTCAGTGGGGAAAAGGTGCCACAAATCTCTACCTTATTATTCAGCTGTTTCTGCCTGTTATTTTTCTTATTTATTAATTTTTATCTTTGTGGGTTTTTTTTTTTTATTGAGCCAAGCAATAGCTCAGGGATGTTCAGTTGATTTACTTCAGATATTTGATCCCATAAGAAAGGCAATCATGGAGCTGGAGAGATGGCTCAGAGGATAAGAGCACTGGCTGCCCTTCCAGAGGACCTGAGTTCAATTCCCAGCACCTACATGGTGGTTCACAACCATCTACAATGAGATCTGTTGCCCTCTTCAGACTTGCAGGCAGAACACTATATACATCTGGAATCAACCAAATCCCAAGTACCTGGGTACATTTTCTTCTGTTGTGTGGGGGTGGGTGGGTGGGTGGGGGACGGTTCTTCATTGGATCATTTGAGGTGGGAAGAGCCCACTCCAAAGCCTAGGTCATACCCTCTAGTGGCAGCCTACATAAAAGGACATGGAAAAAGGAAGATTTTGCTGTTGGCCCGCTTGCCTCCACTCTCCATAGTAAGTTCACCTGTCCTGCTGCTGAGGTATTCCTTCCCTGGTCAGCATTCCAGTGAGACTGAAGACTCACCGACATCAAGCCTAGTGGACTCTTGGCCTTTCCACTGGCAGACGGACATTGTTGGACTAAACGGACTAATTGGCCTGTAAGTCATTCTAATCGATTTGTGCTCTCCGTGCATGCGTGTGTGCATGTGTGTGTGTGTGTGTGTGTGTGTGTGTGTGTGTGTCTGTGTGTGTGTGTGTGTGTCTGTTTGTCTGTCTCTGTGTGTGTGTCTGTGTGTGTGTCTGTCTGTGTGTCTGTGTGTGTCTCTCTCTCTTTCTCTGTGTTGTGGTGGTATTGTGTTCCCCAAAATATTGTGCACCCTAATAAACTTATCTGGGGTCAGAGAACAGACAACCACTAGATACAGAGGCCAGAAAATGGTGGCACTTGCACCTTTAATCCTAGCATTTCAGAGACAGAAATCCCCTGATCTCTGTGAGTTCAAGGCCACATTGTGCTGTGGGATGGTCTGTATGTCAAATTGCTCTGATTGGTCAATAAATAAAACACTGATTGGCCAGTGGCTAGGCAGGAAGTATAGGCGGGACTAACAGAGAGGAGAAAAGAAAGAACAGGAAGGCGGAGGGAGACACTGCCAGCCGCCAAGATGACAAACAGCATGTGAAGATGCCGGTAAGCCACGAGACACGTGGCAAGGTATAGATTTATGGAAATGGATTAATTTAAGCTATAAGAACAGTTAGCAAGAAGCCTACCATGGCCACACAATTTGTAAGCAATATAAGTCCCTGTGTTTACTTGTTTGGGTCTGAGCAGCTGTGGGACTAGTGGGTGAGAGAGATTTGTCCTGACTGTGGGCCAGGCAGGAAAACTCTAGCTGCAACATTGGAAACAACCAGGTATGGTGACTCACGCCTTTAATCCCAAGAAGTGAGCCTTTAATCCCAGGGAGTGATGGTAAAAAGCAGAAAGGTATAGAAGGCGTGAGTGCCACCATTTTCTAGCCTCTGCATCTAGTGGCTGTCTGTTCTCTGACCCCAGATAAATTTATTAGGGTGCACAATATTTTGGGGAACACAATACCACCACAGTGTGTAGCTGAACTGAGTCAGTTTAACGAAGGAGGAGACTTCCTTGAAGGCAGGCAGCAGCATCCCATGAGTTGGAGTCCTAAATGGAGTAAGTGGAGAAAGCAGTTGAAGACTGGACTTCATCTCTCTGCTGCCGTACTGCCATGTTCTCTCCTACCACACAGGTAGAACCACAGTGTCACACCGCTCTGATGATAACGTGTTCTACCTCCAAATTCTTCCAAAATAAACAGTGTGCATCGGAAACGTCGAGTGATTTGGAAAATTACAAGTTGTCTCTGATTGCAAATTCTGTGCATGTGCACTTAGAAAATTAAGAAAATAGAAGTTAGGCACAGTGGCTAACATCTTTAAATCTCAGCATGTGCGGAACAGAGACAGGCAGATCCCTATGAGTTCAGGGCCTAGCCTGGTTTACACATATCAAGTTCCAGGCCAGCCAGAGATACATAGTGAGACTCTGTTAAAGAAGAAGAAGAAGAAGAAGAAGAAGAAGAAGAAGAAGAAGAAGAAGAAGAAGAAGAAGAAGAAGAAGAAGAAGAAGAAGAAGAATAATTCTGTATTGTATTGAATTTTACTACCACCAATCTCTGGTTTTGCTGTGCAGGACGTTAGTTCTTTGAAGTGCCTGCAGAGGGCAGTCGACCCCAAACTTCCTGCACATTGTGTTTAACCATCGGTTTTTTCATCACTGAAAGTACTAACAGATTTTCAGTTTTAGTTTGAGGAGATAGCAATTGAAAATTGATAGGAACACAGTTATAGAACATCTGGCTAGCATGCATGAAGTGCTAGGTTCAATCTCCCATACCCTGCTTCCAAAAAAATATATATATATATAATAGTCAGTGGGTTTAGCCAGTGGAAAATGTATATGAAAGTGTTCAAAGTTT